GTTTTAATATAACAATAATAAAAATAATTTGAGCAGGAGTACGGACAGTAAAAATCTCAACATTTTTGTATATTTAAAAAATATGTTTGAGGTCAAAAAGGAGAGGACATATCCGAGGAGTAGGTAATCTTAAGTTTACGCGGTAATAAATGAAACATGCTTACTTAAAGGATATAAATTATTTGATAATAAAAATGATTTTTCGCATTCCTACAACATGGCCTTTCCTTTCCGATTAGACGCTTAAATAAATAGTCATGAAATCAGTTATTTATAAAAACAATTTATTTTTTGTAATACAAATCATGCGACAATGAACTGGCTTGTTCTATTATTCAATGAAATTGAAATATGTATTGTGACAAGTGTCGTGGAAGCACATTGCCAGCAAGAAGTCCTGCTGACTACTGTATGCGGTCAACCCACAGAACCGTTACACGCTCGTGTACGTACATACGTGCGAGTAATCGAGTAGCACGTCGTTGCGTTACATCAGAAATTTATTAAACGGGGTTATGCAAATCTCTCATTTATCTAGAGGACAAGGTTGCGTCATTGACAAGGTAACTCGAGCCAACTATGTTTTACATAATTTTTTATTAAAATCGTACCTAACATATTTACATTTACATTTACATACATAATCTTGGCGAAGTCGGTATTGTTGGAATAATGTTAACCGAGAACTCGTAGGAAATGCTGGCTGCGCTGGTGGTTACTTGTGAAGTCAAAAACCGAAGAAGCAAAGAAGGCGCGCGTGAAGAGCCTTTAAAGAGCCAAAGTGAACCTTCTCTCACACGGGGAGAACAGGTTCCTGGCTCATGGTTACCGTGTATTCACCGAGCTGAAAACCTTGAGCCTCGCGGATGGAGAACAATACATCAACGCATCTCTCTCTTCTCTCTGATGCTGCGGTTACTTTTTCCAAAGATGCTGTACAAATCGAAAATTTCGAATCTGCTTCTAAACTTAAAGAAACGACAAGATTCCTTATTCCCCTTCACATCTGAAGTTGAAAAGTAAATCCTTTCTTCTTGTGGAACATCTACCACGCAGAAATAATAGAGAATTAAGAGTCAAATTTTCATGTGTGAAATGTTAAAAGGATTCACGTAATTAAGTTATTTCGACTCTCATTGCTGTTGAAAAATTATTTTCAAATTTCAATAGACGTTTAACTTTTATTACAATAATTTTTATGGTCAAGTGTTTGTGATTAGTATTAAGTTTCTCATAAGAGGTAAGGTATCTAAAAATGAAATCGAACTTTATTCATAAATACCTTAAGTCCCTAAAAACTTAATCACGTCCTTTCAAGAGCTTTACCAAGCAGTATACTTTTCTACGGAATCTGATTGTTCATTCTACTACCGGTAGAACTCGTTTAAATAAATGAACTTCGTATGGACGAGAAGCTAGATTCCAAGGAATGACTCGTCACCCTCAGTTTACACGTGAGCAGATGTCATTTCTTAGAAGTTGTCTAAAAGATCCGGAAGACGGAGAAGATGCGACTGATGATGGAAGATGTGAATCGGTGGCGAGGCGAGTTCCACAGGCGAGTGTGTGTACGCACCTGATCAAGCCGCCCCCACACTCTGTATACTCTGTGGTGAGCCGAGAGCATACTGTCGGAAATCAAGATGGCGAGGAGCGGTGGGGCCCAGAACGAGTCCCCTGCCCCTGCCTGTTGCCTACCCTGAATGTCCCTGACTCTCGGCTCCCGGCCGGTCGGTCCTCGGCTCAGTCAGTTGCTGTTCGTACGCCAGGCCCCGTTGATGCGTCTACGCGGCCTGCTCCGAGGATATTCGAAAAGTATTCGTTCGAGCCGGCTCGGACACAACGACGTGACGCGAGAAAGAGAGAAAGAGAAAGAGAGAGAGACCGCGAGTCAAGCATCGCTATTAACTCTCGGCTCTCGGCGCACACGACGCGCTTATCATCATTCTTAATAATTCCCCCATCCCTCTCTCTTTCTCTTCTCTCGGCTTTAGATCCGTTTGATTTGATATCGCGAGGGTCAAAAGCGAGATCCACGGTCTGTCGGTCGGTCGGTCGGTGATCGAACGGTGACACGAAGAGGTGCGAGGTGATTAAACGGTCGGTGGTCGCGCGTGTCCGGTGTCGCATTCTGTTTCATCTCATCTCCGGAAGAGAGGAAGTCAGGATATTTGGAAGATTTCAAGACGTACGAGCCAGTAGTAGTGAAACAGTTGCCGCATTATTGGCTCGTAGGGAAACAAAGGAACCACGGTTTCGGAAGGATCGACGATATACGATCGGCTCTCGTAGCGGTCGATCGTGCTAGCTGGCTAGCAGTGCTAAGGAAAAAGGTATTATTGAATGCTCGCGATTCATTTGTTCTCGTGGTAAAGTGATTGAATTCGGTAGTGGATTCAAGAGTTTTCGAGAGGTCACCGAGCTCAAGGTTTGTACGATATGTAAATCGCGCGTCTAAGCTAGATAACATTTATCGCGAAACAAGTTTCTTCACATGTCGCCGGGTGTCAAATCGCGAGACAACGAACGGGGGATCAGCGTGAAGTTGCGTTACATTATGTTTACGTTTACGTATCGGATCGGTCACGGCTCGTAAACACTAGTTGTAACCTATAAAAGCAAGGGCACAAATTTTTTTAGACAGTCACGTGCCCTTACGATTAATGAAACTAATCGTTTTCGCTGTACCGTTGTACACGCGGCTTATTAAGGTCGCTCAATCGACCCCAATTGTCCGAGCATGCACTGAAAGGTTTAATTATATGTATATTCCGCGACGGCGAACAATCACGCGTGTTTGATGTCATCGATGAATGCTCGATCGTTTCGAGGAAAACGGAAAACGGATAGAAATTCGCTTCTCGGAATAGAAATATAAGTACCGCAGTCATGCTAACGGTTTATGCTACAGCAAATTCGTTTGGGCTTCCATAAAACTTTCCATTGGTTTTAATTACGGTCGTCCTAAGATATCCTCTCGGCTCTCTTCGACGGGGACAAAGACGGTTCGGGCTTTACCTGAAACTTCTTGTTCAAACTGGGAAATCTAATGTAAGTTAGTCTGGGCGTTCGCGATAAGTTTCCAGATTGAGATAAAGTCCTGGCGAGATAAAAAATGGTGGTAGCCTTTCGTACAATACAATGGTCCGTAAATGTGCAACGCTATCTGTTTAACGCTATGGTGAACCGTGGTCTGTGTACACAGATATGTAGGAGATTTAAACACGTTTCTGAGACTTGGAGAGATAGCGCATGTACAGTAACTTTCACTAATATTCGGACGTGTTTCAAGACTGAATTTCTTTTTTAATACTGGACCAAACTATTTAACTGTCCGTAGGGTATTAAATGTATTAAATATAACTGTATTTTTTTCAACATCAATCAAACATGTAACATTCTCATACTTGTTCATATTTATTCAATATTGACCTGAAATGTGGAACGCATCGATCTCGGTGTCGGTAAAATGAAAAATAGCAACGGCTGTTAACCTCGTTCGAAAGCTGTTAGAAGCCAGGGTGTCTGTCGCAGAACTGGTTTATCCGGAATCCCATCCCCTACAGGATCGAACGAACGACTCTGATCTCCCCCGTGAACTGACAATACAATTTCCAACTTCGAGCAACGAAAATACATCTTAAAGTTGTATTTTCCCTTAAATAAAAACAATGACAAAACATTGACATTTTAACTATTATTAGATATTATATTAATAGAATACTGTACAAAAATAAAAATTTTGCGAGGCTAGTACAAAAATTGTTTTATCTTGAATTCTTACGTTGAATGGTAAAATTTTCACTTCATTTATGAAAAAATATAAATGTAACAGTGAGAGAATTTTGTGTAATTGTTAATAAAAGTTTTAAGAATATTTTAAAGTTGAAATGATATCAATTTCGGGGATATTATTTAAGGCAGACAGTAACAAGTAAGTAAACTCATCTAACTATGTTATGAATCTTATTTCCCTGTAAGTATTGGATATTTTATATAAAACATCTATAAAAAATAACTTTGGACGTTTTATCACATTTCTCGATCTTCTAGCAAAGATGTTACGACTCGTACAATCTTAAATGACTTCAGTGAATAGGATGAACGTCAACGATGCGAATGTTATAATTAGAAACTTCATAAAATACGTCATAAATATTTATGCACGCTAATCGCGCGCACTTGTAATAAAATAATAGTTTACAGTTCCGTGCACTGTTGATGCAACATATCACTGGTAATGTGCCATAAAATGCGATACACGTATCGCGGTCAACAGTTTCCTCGTTCTTCTACTCTTTGGGTTACTACATAAGTATACATCCACCGTGCGTTCCCATTCGTAGGAACAACTTCTACTACAAATGGTGATTCACGAAACTTAAGGAGGATATTACTGTACACTCATTTCCGGAATTATAGCGGGAAGTGTCGTTTAAACAAAGCAGATCACTTCATCTCAGAACGATACGCTACCAGCATTGTCTCGCGTTTCCAGTTCAGATCACTGCATTCAGTCTCATCTCTACGTTGCGGATTTTATGATTTTACAACAAAACTGAGTATGTGAAACACGTAAAAAATATATATAGTGGACAGAAGTGCACAAAGTATCAAAAAGAAAATGCATAAAAATCCGTCGTCATCTGAATCCAGTAAATCCAGTATCATCTCACTTGTAACTACCAAATGATTTTAATGGCAGAAAACTTGCATCACGGCTTTTTCATCTTTCTCAATCGATGCCGTAAAATCGCTGCAGCATTCACCTTTCACTCGGCAAACGCCCTTCACCGCGAGAATATTGTTCGTCCACGATAACGACGGTGACGTATCGAGTAAGTTTATAATCATCGATAATCGGTATTCGGTTTGATCCATTGAAACTTTGCAAACCGTTGTTCGATATATCCTTGAACGAATTTCATGGCGCACGCTTGTGAAAGCCGACGATTTTCCTGTTGCAACCTGTAATAAATCGTCGACTTCATGGAGGTCGCGATATCCGATTCGCGTTCCCTCGTTCAATTTCAAAAGCTTTTTATCGCTACGGGAGATATGTTGCACACATTTTGAGGGAATATTCTGAGAAAAGTGTATTGGATAACGACTACGCTCGAGGAACGTACGGGGAATGGGCAGCAAGGCTCAGGACTTGGTAGGCAGAAAGAAAAGTTTGTTCTGTAGAACGACAAGGTGTGTTTACCGAATAATTTTACGACTGAAGAGGGTTCCCATGTTTCCCTTGAGGTAGACAGTGTCGACACGTATCGGGTACATCCAACCAACTTCGTCGTCCTTTTTCCTTTTATTTTCCTACCGTGAAAATAACAAGTAACTAGACTGCGAATTTTAAAACATTTATGCTGGTCGATCGAGAGATCCGTTGCAATATATACTCGATTGATATTTTATGCATCGTTTAAAATGGATAAAATTCAGTCTAAGAATAATGTCGACCGCTTCGCGGTCCGTTGGAACTGTATAAAAAAACTAAAGATTTCTCTATCGATGAAGCGCGATCGATGCCACGTATTCTGTTCGCCGGTTTAGAGTTTCTAGCACAATCGAACGATCGAGCCGGGTCTTAAAAATTCTGAGGCGTGGTTGCCGCGAACGCACAGAGCTAACTGTAAATCTTGTTTCCATACGGTATTCCTGTACTCGTCCTTACATCTTTACGTCTGGAGAAGACGTCCTACGCAATCGTAGTCATCGCATTTCAAAAACCGTTAGCTCTCTCGTTTGGTGTAATGGAGGACAGAGGTCAAAAGTGAAATCCATCATATTTTGTGAAAACCTCTTTTTAATTAAAAACTAAGGGATTAAGAATTTAATTTCTTCTAAAGAAAGCGCGGTAGCAGAGGAAGCAATTTCCTGTCGGAGAATCGAATCAAGTGCATTTGCATAGAAGATGAGAATCGCGCGGTTCCATTATCCAAGACTGCCATAAGGCGAACTAATCTCATTTCGGAGATACTGAACGTAATTAATCAAGGTCGGCGATCTTTCCGCTTGCTGATGAAAATGCATGAGCGTTCCCAGCCTATTCGATACACGATACTCGCGATGAATGAACTCGTACTCGAACAGGAAAACTATCTGATTTAATCAAACGAGATTTAATTCCCTTTAATCATTGCGTTCTCATCGTAATCAGTTAAATGGGCTTGTGTAACTCCTCTAGACTGTTTGACAAGGGAGAAATCCGTAAGGGCGATTGAATCTGGATAAATTCAGAGGCTCGTTTATCCTATCCAGGCTAATTATTAAGACGATCGTAAATCTCGACGGCTGGCGGTTAGCTCTTCGCTAACGGCTCTCAGTCGCCGGCATTATCCTTCATTAGCTTCGGCCGCGGCCACATAAATCGTGTCTCCCCGGCCGCAATTATCGATTCTCCAGTGTGTGGCATCGCGCATAAATTCCGTGCAAATTAAGAACACTGGTTTACAGCGAGCTTAACGCGGCGACGATCGAAGGCTCATCTTCAGACGCATCGTAATGCATTCAGTAAAGAGCAAAACTGAGTCAACATCTCATCAATCACAGTTTTTACGACTTTTCGCTTAAAATCTACATGTTTGAATGCCGCTTCTCTCGATACCAACTGATTTCAGTGAACTTTTCACCATTTCAAAATATATTGCACAAAGTTTCATGACAAAATGTTGAAAAAGCTACTTTCTCTTTTTTCCTTACAATTTCTATCAATATCAATTTTCTTCACACGTCACTTAGTAAACTAATCTACTTAACTATTAAAATTGTGTAAAATTGCATGTATAAGTTTAATAAAAAGTAGTCTGGAGAGCGAGGCTGGGTGCTCGAAGCCATGAGCGGACCTCGTGATATTTCACCGAATAAGGAACCAATCGGGTTCACCAAAACCTGTTTTCTCCGGGGGCCCGGGCTCGGAACTCGATACGAACGATTCGTGCACGCGAAGCTACCCGTTGCGGTCGTGCGAAACGTGTTGAAAAACCACCGTCTCGCGGCTACTCGGGATTCCGATCCGTGCCTTCAGTTTTCAACGTTAACACCGGTTGATTACTGCGGACAGAAGCTCGGCAAGAAATCGTTACTAAATGCCCTAAGATTTCCATTAACAACCTAATTATGTGCATATCTAAACGCTATTCAATTAGCCACTTTCACGGTGTAATAAAATAATTGTAATAGTTCTAATTACGATTGCATTAGAGATCCCCGTGAGGAAAATGTACGTAATTCGTTCGGCGGAGAGCGTGAAATGTAGTGTTAAACGGGGAAAGAAGTTCTGTAGGAAGGTCTAATGAGTTGTTTGAATAATCGTTGAGAGGCCGTTTTCTATACACAGACACGGTGTCAGCGTGTCCACTTTCAACGCGAGGCGACACGGCGAAAACCGCGGCCATTCCCCCTCTCTTCCATGGTTTTACGAGAAGCAGCCGAGTATAACTGGTTTGACTTGTGTGTTCGTTAACCGAGAACATTTCGGAGAAGCGCGGAGAAGGAATTGTAAAACGCATAGTTGTCTCGAAAACTCTCGACTCGGTACTCCGCCGTGTGTAGAATGTATGCATGTATTTGCATAAAACCCGAGGATGAAAGAGCAGAAAGAATCGTTTTACAGAAAATATGTATGATATAATGCAGGCTTAAATTCCAACGTTGCTAAAAATCTTCTACTCACTTCAGATTATTAATAAGTAGACTCCGGGTTTTTTTGTATTTATAGAAAAATTATATCTACAGAAAATATAAGGAATTCATTCAATGCTCAAGGACACAGAAAATGTCAAAAGTGAAATGCATGTAGTAAATGTTTCTATCGTTCAATTCCTGTTCCCGTCACGATTTCTATTGACTGACTTGATGTTATAATATAAAATTATATAGCAAAAAGAGCCAGTGAATAGAAATGGAGATACTATATTATGGTTTTTTAAAATACAAAAGAAATTCTTATTTAAATTTCATTTTTTAGATTACAAATGATTTATTTTGCATAAAGATTCGCAGTCTATTGATAAGGAATAGCGAGAGACTACTACATTCTTCTTGCTTTTATTTTTTCCTCAGTGAGTAAAATCTCGTTATCTTGCATTCTAGGAATAAAATTACAACCTACTCCGAGAAACAGACTGAATACATTAATTGTGCAACGATCAATGCGATTGGAGTTCTAAGGAAATGTCGCAGATCACTTTGAATCGTCCGTCACGTTGGAACGAGCATAGAATTAGATCTGAAATTACATTCTGAACGCGTACGTGCTGATGGACAGCGTTCCTTATAAAAAAATGCAAATGTAGTCAGCTCGTAACGTTACACTTTATGACGTGCAGAAGTCCGACGTTTTACAGCGTACGTCTGCACGTTTACTGGAAATCGGAACGTTGAATTCGCTGGGACAGTGGACGTCTGACGCTGGCAATCCTGCACGCTTGCAAATTGACCCCCTTGAACGGCACGTGCCTCGTCTGCTGTCGATTAATTAACTAATAAACTTCCACGTCCTCTAAGGCGGCTATTTTAGCTCGCGTCCCAGCGGTCTCGGGTCGTTACAACAGTCTTATGCAAAACCTGACCAAGAATTCTGGTGACTTGTGCGAATCCATTGCTTAAACAAGACTTTTTTTTTTATACGCCCATTGTTGAAAATGTGAAATAAGGATTGCATTGTTGATTGGATTTTTTGCCGTGGGAAAAGAGGGAACGCTTGGAAGACGAAAATCCTGCACGGTCGGCGTCGTTGGTCGCGGTTGGTGGCCGCGGTTCTTAGCCCTCGAGCCCCAAGGTGCGCTTTTGTTTCGCCACTGAGAACAATCCATGGTCTGAAGAGCTCGGGGCCCGGGGCCAGTGCGTTACGTACATCGATCCTCGCGTACATCTGCCGTTTCCGGCTGCAACCCTTTCTTCCTCTGCTACTGGTGCTCCTCGAAAGCCAGGAAATACGAAACGACGATACGATCGCGTTACGATTTATCCAATTAGTATCTTCAAATCTTTTTCTCACTCTCATAGACTGCAAATTATATGCAGTACAAAACACGTCTTTGCTGTGCGTTTAAAAGAAATGTGTTTCAGCTTTTGATGTTCTGTAGAGTTTTGTATATTTATAATTGTTGAATAAAATTTTTTCTAACACGCGTTTACGTTTTCTCAAAGTGTATTCTTGTAAACCCATATTTTTGGCCAATTTTGTGGGTAACATTGATAGTCTACCTTATCGCCTAGCTATCAAAGTCTACCCTCTTAATTACCTGACGTAAATGATTACGTCGATAGTGTCCGGCAGTTGTTTTAATCTTGCGACAAATTCGTCAAGTACATCGTTGTAGCTAATTGCACGGGGTTTCGCGAAAAGGTTATTCGAACCGATTAAAAATCTAAGATACTACGCGCGGTGCGTCGTCACGCGAGCCTATGTACCCTACGTGCTGTCTTGTTCGTTCTCAAGTACATTGACTCACCCGTGTGTGCGGTGTGACTGAGTTACTCGATAGGAATGTAAATGCCTCGTGCGTTGGCGGCCGTATCAATGACAAAGACCCGGTTCGATCGCGATTTACCCGTGCAACGTAGTTCGCGCTCGTCATAGATCCCGAGAGCGTTCGAACCAGGAGATGAGTGTCCGGTAACCGTGTTCATTTCATCTCTTTAAACCTGTAACCCTTGCAAACCGCGAGCGACAATAGCTCTGGCAAACAATAATATGCAACACCGACTCGGGTGTCCAAATCCTCTTCACGCACGACTCGCACGTGTAGATTAACATCGGAGTGTGCGTTGGCCTGTTGTTGTCTCCATTACATTCTGTGTTTGATCGACCGAGACAATGTCGTTTGGTTGTTTCCAGGAACACGGTAATCGAAATCAGCAGCGATGGCGGTGTTTGGCTTGGTCTCGGCGGTGGCCGGGTTCGTCAAGGTACGATACCTCGTCGACAAGGCGATCATCGACAACATGATCTTCAGGGCGCACTACAGGATCACCGCAGCCATCCTGTTCGCCTGTTGCATCATCGTTTCCGCGAACAACTTAATAGGCAAGTTTCTACGTTTTTCAAGATCAGCAAGAAAGGCGACGAGAATTTATTCCGAGTACGATGAGTCCTTTAATATTCGGACATAGTTCTCACATACACGTCTCAATTGTAGTGAGGAAGTCGTGAACAACTGTGATTTTTTAATTGCTTGTACCTCATTTTTATGAAACTTTGTATATGCACATAACTTACTTAGACCTACAAGCGGGATGTTCCAACTTTTTATCAGAAACCGTAATCAAAAAATTAAAAGTCATGTCCTTTATTTTTTTATTCGAAATTTCGACGAATAGTATTTTTTTTACGCGTTGTTTAGTAAATTGACACTATTTCCAGCAAGCGATGTCTTTTGATATTGTCACCTAAAATTATTATCATTAGTTTAATCGCTCTTCCTTGATTTAATTAATTAATTTAACAATCAGTATAATAGAAATAGTGTTAAGCATTCTAAAATCCTATAGACAATTAACTTGTTTGGCTGACTATTAAAAAAATTATTCCGTTTTGCAGAGTGTCCGAATATTAATGGAAATTACTGTATGTACTCATTTTGCAACGGTCTCACGTGCTCAAACTCTACTTGTCAATTGTAAATGTAAACTTAACTGGTAGAACATTCACATGGGAAAGAATGTTTTGTCTGTAGATAGTGTTTATTCTCCCATTTACGACGAGACTCCTAACGATTGTGCAAAGCTTTTAACCAGAGACGGTTTTCAAACTACTTGACAATTTCGTTTCTTAAAGTAAAATTCGTTACTTGGAAGATTTTGCAAGACGAAATTCAGAGATGGAGCTAAATATAAGTACTCGTTTTATCCCCATTTCGACGGTCAGTTTATAAATGTATTAAGAGAGAAAAATGATCTTATCTGCGGGCACGAGAGTGGGTCGTAGATCAACGACGGTTACATAAACGCGTAGGGCGCGCAGACGGTAGCGATTTAACAGTGGTGTCTCGTTTCGAGGACACCACGTGCTTGGTTATCAGAAGCGGTAACAGTCGCTCATCATGCAGAGGCCTCCAGAACAGATTTACAAACGTGCCCGTTTAAAGATTCGCACACATGCCGGTTGCGTAATTCTAAACATCGCGTTTACAATCGCGAATGAGCAACCCGACGTGGTTACTCTCGTTTCGACAGTCACCGATCCTATTATAGAACACGAGTTCTATCTTTACGACTCATTAATTGCATCTGCAGACATTAGAAATATTGCTCGTATAGTAGAGATATAACAACTGCAATCAAACAGCAGGGTTGCTGCCCTTTACACTTTGAATTAAAAAACTCGTGATAACACGCTGTCAACCGAGCGTGTCAATAGTTCTATCCCGGAAATATCTGGATAGAACTTCTTATTATAGCAAATATTAATTTCAATTACGTATTATGTAACACTTGATTTGAAATTCATATACAAATTAATTTAAGTACAAATAATAAACAAATGAATTAAGTATAACAGTTGATATCCTATTCTTGAAGTGTATTCACCTCAGTGCCAGTCGAACATTGAAAAAATGAGGCATCGATTTATTATTATTTTCGGATCTTGTTAGGAAGATATACTAATCGAAAATGAGTCGAGAGTCACTGTCGCAAGCTATAAGGAGCAAGATATATCTATTCAGAATATCAATATTATATTTCAATGCATAAATCATAAAAACACGTTTGTTAAATTGGTAAATGTTTTATTTCGCATAAGAAACTACAATCTTTTTAATCGTGATTGGTAAAAGCGGTTGCGTTCGAATTCGATCGCGCAGCTTGAAGTCCTCGAGTCGAAAAGGACGGAGCGAGTAATCGATGACGGTTGGTCGGCAGGTGATCCGATAAACTGTCTGAGCGACGGAGGGGTAGCGGAGAACGTGATAAACACGTACTGCTGGATCACGTACACGTTCACCCTACCGCATCAGACCGCGAAGCAGGTCGGCACCCACGTGGCCCACCCGGGCCTCGGCACCGACGTAGGGGAGAAGAGGTACCACTCGTATTACCAGTGGGTGCCGTTCATGCTGTTCTTCCAAGGTATCCTGTTCTACGTGCCTCACTGGATGTGGAAGCAGTGGGAAGAGGGCAAGGTCAGAATGATATCCGAGGGCATGAGGGGCGCCATGCTCGATAACAAGGACGAACGACAGGCGAAGGCTCACCGGTTGGCTAAATACGTGTTCGACACGTTGACGCTGCACAACACCTACGCTGCCGGTTACTTCTTCTGCGAGGCCCTCAACTTCGTTAACGTGGTGAGTACACCGATGATGAAACGGTCGTACCTCTTTGCGGGACGATCATGAAAGCGCTTTAACGCGTTTCCTCTCTGCCTTTCATGCGACGAAAATTACTCTTTTCAAACGCCGCGTAAATCCTCTCTTGTGAATGAGAATTTCCTCGCTGAAACCGCGCTTAATGGGAGATTAGCGAATTTAAAAAGACCGGATTCGTTACAATTCAATGCTCCTTTCATTTCTACCTGCTGTGCATTATTCCTTGAATAAATTAATTTTTTAATTGCTATTAATTGAACGTTATTTTTTTTAGGTGAGCAATATGTTCTTCATCGACACCTTCCTCGGCGGTGCCTTCCTCTCGTACGGCACAGATGTGCTCAAGTTCAGCAACATGAACCAAGAACAGCGCAGCGATCCAATGGTCGAAGTCTTCCCACGCGTTACAAAATGTACTTTCCACAAATTCGGTGCTTCTGGGACTATTCAAAAGTTCGATGCTCTCTGCGTTCTTGCCCTGAACATTCTCAACGAGAAGATCTACATTTTCCTTTGGTTCTGGTTCATCATACTCGCGGTGCTGTCGGGTCTAGCTTTGCTCTACAGCATGGCGGTAGTTTTGCTGCCGAGCACGCGAGAGACTATTCTCAAGAAGCGATTTAAGTTCGGCACGTCGACCAGCGTCAGTGCGCTTATTAGAAAGACACAGGTAAATATTGGCATCACACCTCTTCATAAACTAGTGATTCAACTTGTCGCGTCGGTTGTACGTATATTTTAGAGACTCGTGTTCTTCATTGATTTCATATTTCCCTCGTTGTAAACGCATTGCACGACTCGTTTCTCGAAGTAACGAGCGAATCGCGATCTGTGATACGTTTCGTGACAAGCATCCATTATTATCATTTCGCGTGTAAATTTTCAGGTCGGCGACTTCCTGTTGCTTCACCTGCTGGGACAGAACATGAACGTGATGATGTTCAACGAGGTATTGGATGAACTATGCCGCCTACTAAACGTCGGCTCGACGAGCGGCGCGTCACCGACCTCGCTCCCATCGGCGCCCAGCACCCTCGAGATGTCACCCATCTACCCGGAGATTGAGAAATACGCGAAAGACACCGAGATATAAAGCGTTTCCTTCTTCGCGTCCTCTTCAACTTTATCTCTGCCTTCTATGTATTGTGATATACTGCCTAGGGTGGATCCGACACCGGGCTTACCGTTTGTGCTATCGAGGGTGAAAACGCGCCAGCCGGAGGTACAAGGTCTTGCCATTTTCTTAACGCGCCCGAATAGCTGAAGGAAATTACGCAGAAATAGTGTGAACTATTGCGCGTGTTTCTAACACCACCCGTGGCACAAACTAGCGTTAGATTATCAAAGGAATATGTAACGTAGGCGATATCGCAGCCGGTTCGTCAGCTAATGCCTACGCACCGGTCGTTTATCGCTGATAAATTATGTAGTAAGCCGAATTTCACGTGCACAATCGTTGCTCGATTATCTCTAACGCTCTTACGTCAAGTTATCGCGTTCTCCACCCCGTAATTAAGGGTTACGATATACGCGACGAGCACGCGAAGGCAACGTAAAGTGAACACTGCTATTTTTCTCTTGATTCTTCCAAAAATGTCGCATCATTGCGCGAATTCCTACTCGTTCACATTCCTTTTCGTATAAATGAGCGCATCGTGATGAAATAAGTGCCTTTTACCGAGCGCGTTGAGCTTCGTTCCACGCTCCGTTGACATCGTTTTCAATTCGACCGATTGCGATGTTGTTTCGTTGAATTACATGATTAATACATATTCCAATCATTCCGTTCGTATTCCTTATGAAACAAATTGTATTCATTTCGATTCGAAAGAGGTCGTACAAGATTTTTTCGATTTAAAACTTTGTATAAATACAAACCGTCGATAAATGTCATCGCGAGCCTGCAGCAAATTATGCATTGTTTGTATAAACAGCTCCCACCTACTCCGTCACTATATAATATGTATAAGGTAAGACGGAACCGTCCTGACGATTCTTTGTCTATCTGCGTTTAATTGGTGCATTCGTCGTAATGAAATTAACGAGAACGATGTTACGTTACTTTTCATTTGAATATTTGTCGTTTCAAAATTCCACTTACGGGCATTTCCAATTATCCGCAGCAATATTTATCCACGAATCTCTTCGAAAGAAATTAGAGTATATATATATATAGATAGATAGTTTATATATATCAAATTTTAATTGGTACAGAGATTTATGAGTAGATTAAGATAAGTGTTTTGAATATTTGAATTTATTCAATTCGATATACGTATGTTTGCATTTTTACTTATATTAAAAATTGTACAAAGAGTTTGAATTCGAATATCGTTAGGGGTACCTAACGATGTTTCCAGCATCGGCGGAGGTCCGTTCGTTAAAATTCGACGAGGAAGCACGTCGGATGGAAACGAATCGGATTTCCCTGAACGAAGCATAATAGCGCTGACGTATAACGTGGAATTACTATTCGATGCTCATGTTTGTTTCCACGTCTCGCGAGGATTAATCGAAGCGAGAACATAGTATAATGCTGCCGACATAAGTGTATGCAACTTACAATTACTTCGTGACTATCCAGTAGTTAATACGTAGCTCATAAAGTATGTTGTATCTGCTATTAGTCGCAAGTTCCAAGTGATATATATTATATATTGATTAGTCGTTTAAGTTGAACGAGACCAGATGTGCCTTCTATTATATTTAGAATTTATCGAGTGTTTCAATGCGTCGAACTGTACGCGAATGCTCATTAAGGAGATCGAAGTAAACGCGAAGACTGCCAACAAACATTGATGTAACGGGAGCGAACATAAAGACAAATTATAGAATAAATGTATACTCTTTCTATACATCGCGTCGAGTTTGGATCAACCCGATGGCGAACCGTAATCGGTGTCCGTGCCATTTCTCAACGAATTGAAGCAACCAACGATTGGAGGAAGCTCGTAATCGTTCAATAAATTCCATCAAGTACATTGGTCAGAAATACGCGCTGCAACTTAATAATATATGATAACTCACCGGTTTCCCCAGTCCACCTTGTTGATGATACGCAGCTTCAACTCCCGGGTTTGATCGGTGGTGAGTGTGCCGGCCAAAAGTTGTCGACGCCATTCCAACAGCTCCCGCATCACTTTCCGCAGCGTGTTGAACTTGTAGTTCTCCCGCTCCTGAATTCGTACCAGCGAAAACATTTAAATTAGTAACAATGTAGAGAGACGCGTGGAAGGCTTTTGACCTGTCTCGCGCCTCTTTCATTGTAATTTCATCGAGTCGTGAGTGGTTCAAAGCAGAACCTCGTTAATAGTCTGCAGCATGAAAATCTCTACGCTTCGCAGTAAGGATTCGGGTGTGGGTGAAAACCCTTTTCCATTACAGTTTCTTGGGGCAGATTATTCTTTTGCAAAATGGAACGGAGGGGTCTGCAACCTTGGAGAAAATGAACGAACAGCTCACTCACCACGTACAGTCTCTTCCAAATACCGCCCCATTCTCGTAACACGAGAGTTACCTCGCGAACGACCGGGTCCTCGAGAGGTATCACCGACTCGAACAGCCCTTCGTTTTCGATCTTGCACGGTTTCAGGTGAACGTACGAGCTGGGGAAGATCCCCTTGACCGCGCGATTCTTCGTTGAAAAGCCCCTGTACCAGCCTAGAACCGAGCCGGGAAAATCGATAACGGTCCTCCACCGTCGATGAAATACGAGCGCCTATGGATTTACCTGCACATTCCTCCAGGATCTGTACCGTCTCTCCGATTTCCAGGGGGAGGCCGTACCTGGGAGCGTCGCCTCGCCAATTGTAAACAGCTGCAAACAAGATAGAATGTAGCTGATTTAACTGTACTATCTTGGATTAAAGCGGTATTAAGGCCTTTTAAGGGAGCTGTGCTACGCGAACCAAACCGTGCAAATATTATGATTTGCAACGCAGATGGCTCTCTGCAAACGAAGTTGGAATTGGATCCTATTGAAAGCTCGGCCGTATGCACAGTTGCGATACGATATTTGATCTCAAATTATAATTACGGGATCACTGAACCGCAGCTAATTTGTCCCAGAATGGAAAACTCATTTGGTACCGATACTAAAATGGAGTGAAAGAAAACAAGTAGAAGAGGAGTATGGACAGTTTTGTGTCCTTTCGTGGAAGTGTCAGGGCCTCGATAGGCAAACTCCGGATACGCGTGACGGTGCACGCACGACGAGCCAGCTTCCGGTCCTTCCAGCGTGTTAGAGAAACGCACGCGGGATGCATCTGAATGAGCGCGTCTCCGCGTGGAAACGCACACGCGTATATATAATATAGTCTGGTATAATCCGGTGGCCAAGGAATGCGTGTACGGACGTTCGCTCGCCCACGATCGCTCGGAGAGAACAATAAACGCAGAATACATCGTCGCTTCGTCTCCGACTCAAATTATTTATTAACTTCGATTGTCAGATCATTAAATAAGTAAACCGTGAGGAAAGAAGAATGATCGAAACAGGAGATTTTAGTGAAGCATTTGGTGATAAAAAATAGTGCAACTAAAGCTTCTATCAAATAAGATTTTTAATAGACTTTAGAATTTTATGCAAAATCAAGTAGTTATTATAGCAGTCTAAAAAATGTGCTTTAAATAGATATTTATTTTATCAAATAAATATTGTAATATGCTTTTGATACGCTGTGTATTTTTATATATTACAGGCAGTGTTTATATTTTATAAATGCATAATGTTCGCAGACTACAGTAGAATTTCTGTTTTGAAACAATTTGAACGAAACAAATAAGAGAACAAGTTTAATCACGATGCATTAACGAGATTTTGAGAAAATCCTCCGGCGCGTTATGAGCGATATGAGAAATATTTTTCTTCTGGCTTTCAGGTGGTCGGACCCGAACAAAGGGAAAACGTCGACGTCGAGTTTTCCCCCGCGAGTTTTCCCAGGGAATTAAATCGATAACTCCCTTTCTCCCGTATAAAACATTCGCGATGGGGGACCACGTACGCTTTCTGCGCTCCACGCTACGAGATCCTCCCTTTTCCTTCCCGTGATGTACGGGGTGTCTGGTAATTCGGGGACACCCTCTATAGAATCGCGACATTTCCCTTCGTTATACTGTTGACCAAAAGCCCGGGACGTTTCATGTTCTTAGCTATAGCCACTGGTACAGATAAGATATACTTCTGTCAGGTTTCATAATAAAACCAGTGATGGATTATTAGGATTTAGTAAATTTATGAGATCACTGAATGTATAAAAAATATAAACAACAAAAATATCAAAAAAGGAATGCATATTGAAATATTTAAATGATTAGAGAAATTATTATTTGAAACACATTTTTTTCAAACTACTACCCTAAATATTATCTGTTGCTTGAAACTCTGCAATCTATTAATGATATTTTATTCCGATTCACTTCGTATCTTTGACAAGATACAAAACGCTATTTCCTGGAATGGAAGTTCCGTACTTCTGGCAGACATTCTGCGATTCTGGTCGACAATGAAACTCGATACAATTCACCCGGCGCTACAAACACAGTTTGTTGAATCCGACATCGGACAATCGGCCATTCGAGTTCTGCGAGTGCCAAAAGATTTGCCTGACCTCGATTGAAAAGAGATTCGACGGTAGCCAATAAGTCGTTAGTTCTCGAGATTTGATTAGCGAATTGGTGGCACAGTTCCCAGAGGAATAAGTTTCCAAGTGAAACGATAAAGAAGTACGGGACGCATGGGTGGCGTAGGAGGAAAACGATCGGCGTGCGTGCGCGCATAAATGAATAAGTAAGCAAGATCCGAGCCTGATACCGATACCCGGCTGTACTCTATCGGCTTTGACAAGCCCTACGTAAAAACCGAATTTGCATAATTGGCCAATTTTATGCAAACAATTAAGCCGCACGCGACCCTTAATCTCTGAATTAAATTCCTCCCTATTAATTATTCCTATTTCATAAAATTACAGCCCAGGAATTCGATCTCGTTTTATTTTTAAAGCTCGTTTTATTGAAACAAGATTTCAAATGTTTATGGAGATAAGGAGCAAAGAACGAAGCGAAAGAAGAGCTAATACGTATAATTTTTGGTCGGGCCTGTAGAAACGAGAGCACACGTGTCGGACTACGAAGCGTGTCAAAAATGGTCGGCGAGCTTAACTGCAGGGGTGCCGTAATGGTTTCGGGGTGGCTCGGTACAAAGGCAGGGATGAACCCCGAAGAAACCGTAAACAATGACATCTGAAATCATTCTACCGCCTGTTGCCGATCGAACGCCACCCTCGCCCACTTCCCATTCAAGCCTCGCCTCTGCTGTGCGGGGAACGTTCGTTCGAACGGCTCTCCGTTCGCTTTAATTTAAGGGGAACCAACCCGTATCTCGAATTCCGAACACGACAATGACAGATTACGAAACGTACCACGCACCCAAGATATTCACCGATAACGTCCCAACGAAATCGAAATCTTTTTTAATCAGGCTACAGAGTTTTATATAAAGTATCGTCTTACGTTCTCGTATATTATTATACATTTTCTATAGATATAATATTACGTTAGGAATAGTACGTTGTAATATTATATAGTAATACGAAATTTGAGCTTAGTGTTTTTTAATAAGTTCATTTATATTTGGGCGTAAAAATAATAATGCCACTTTGATTTCGTGATCTAGATTTAAAAGTCTGGATCTTCTTTTTGTTTTTATGTTGATCAAAGCCGAAAATCGAATGTAATGTCAATTGATAAAGAAATGTAAAAGAAATAAATAATTTTCACTGCCAGACAGTGGCGACGCACTTCAAGAATCTTGCGGCTCACTAAAGTGTTACACATCGTGTGGCACAGTGGTTGAGAATCACTGCAGTAAGGCAATGAATGAAAAAGTGTAAAATATATACTTCCTTATTAGATCCTCGATATCTTTGAAATGATTTAACGACTTGGTTTCTGTTGATGAAATATTTCTATTCTAAACCTTTTTAATTCTGTACACGATAATTAATCCGGGCAAAGCTAGTAATTTTATAAATGCTACTGATAATTTCGTATAACAGAGATGAGGGAGTCGAGAGATAAGCGAGAAATCAGTTTATCGAAGAGCCGATGGAAACAGTGTTGGGAAAGTCGGAGCTGCTTAATCGATAGGCACCAGTTCCCTGCTTCGAAAAGTTGCCCGAACCGCGTTATTCCACGATCCGAGAGACGTCCCTCGATGGAGGCACTAATACCACCGAGGGGAACACGCCAGTATCGATAGAAGTTCGCGTCGTCCAAGATTTTCCACCACGATAATCTCGACTGGGAACCAGGTATACGATTTCCACGGCCGAGCGAGTCGTTCGTGGATAACTCCGCTGTAGCGTCGACCGGACGGAAAATCTTTACGTGTTCTCGTCTCACCGATAAAGGTTCGAAATTCCCAGAGATAGCGAATATTTTTACTGCGCTCCGGATACCCCATTATCTCGTCGCCGGATGACTTTTTGCTACATCCTTCCGTACACTTCGACGAGATAGCGTTTTAAAATAAAAACCGCTACGCAGTGAGGAGTAGAGAGTATTGGCGAGAAACCAGCGTGATGAAAAATGAAAGTCATGAAAAGTGGTGTAAACCTTGGAGATAAGCTGCACGACGTTAGTCGTGTGAGACGAAGTAACGATAACGAATCAGATTTCCTATATCTGTAACGAGACCTTGCTAATCACGAGATTAATTACCATCGTGAATTCGTTCAAAGAGAGCTGCTGCGAGAGAAATAAGATTCATCACTGCTCATTTGCATTCATCGTGAATCACTAACAAGTAGACAGAGGATTTTTATGCAAAAAAGAAGATTCATGGTAGACAATTAAGGTTGTATGAACCCTTACATAAAAATAATGACAAAACATTCAATTATATTTCACAGGGCAAGTTTTTTTTAATATTAATATTAATTAACACCCAGTATAATAAGGACTACTACATATAGAAATAATTCTTAATATTTCAAGAATGAATTTAATCCGCAGTTATACAATCGACAATTTGGGAATTACATTAGATAGTATCTCAGAGATAATGGATAGTATCTCGGAGTTTCCTGGAAAACTATTTTCGAGTAGCTCGATTGGCATTCCATTCGCATGGAACGAGCTGCTTGCGTCAGGTCGAGTTAATCGAGCAATTGTTACGCGACAGAAATCCTGACGAAACGTTTTCGCCGTTCGAACTGGTAGCATTGGAGTCAGAGGTAAAGAATTATGTACGACACGATTCAGAGAATTAACGTGGAAGTCGTAAAGACCTTTTTTAATATCGCTTAAACGTCAACGTGCATGATTTCGTTGAAACAGTTTAAGATTAGGTAAAGAAACAATGTAAGTGCAAACGATAACAATCGAGTGCATGTGTCCACGTTATCTTGTACTTATCGAATACTCTCCTCGCTTTCTGCTCGCTCGTGCAAGCAACTTCTCTATTTGGTATCGCTCTGCAGTTTTTGTATAACTACTGATCCGTACAGATATAATCCGACTCGTTTAAATCGCTCAAACTACATACACAGAGTGTCTGACTACTGGTGGAAAAAATTGCAATATAGAAGTGAAAATTAAGAACAATTCTTACACATTCTTCTAAGTAGTAATTGAACGTCCCCCAGTCTAAACCACAAAGTGCAGAGTTCTCCCCCACTGCCAAACAATATTTATTTGCATTTTCGAAGTTGCCTTATCTTGCCCTCACTATTGCTGACATACTTTCCCCCTCGTTTGCAACCGTGTAAGTATAGTTTCTTATCTTCCCGCGAATTCGAGGAGCTGTCGGATTGAAATTGGACCGGAAGTAAAAGTTCACGCGACGCTAATCAAGGAAAGAAACGATACGAGAGAACGATAGCCACGGCGTAGATTGTTAGATTGGAAGATTAGAATTTAATCGCGTCGCGGACGCGATTCAGCGGTCCCATCTTCATCAAATAGGTTTATTGACACTTTATTCGCCAACGGCTTCGTCCATCTATTTAGATAATAGAGCGCCGACCCGTTTCACCTGAACAAACTATTCGAAGCCGACGTCGAATAGCTCGGACAGACTTCAATGCACTATACCAGCAACGAGGAATTTTTGTTGTACATATAAAAGACCATATTCATTTTCTGAAATAGTGAAAAACTCGCATTGATTTTTAAACCACTAGTTAGAAGTAAAATATACAATATTTTCATTCTTTCACCCCCTAATTTCAACCCCTGACAAATTCTTATCGCAAGAAAGGTTCGTCGACCTTCTGTTTAGACGCGGGCTAGACGTCGCGAAGTCAAAGCAGACAATCGAACGGGCCGGGACGACGACAGTTTTATCAGAACAGCCAGACCGTGCTCGGTTGGCACAGTTTTCAAAGCCTGACAGCCTCCATTAGGAGATGGCACCGGAAGAGGAAGAATAAACGACGGTGATGGTCGCGAAGCAGTTCTTTTGAAGTTAGCCTCTCTATCTCCGAGTTTCCCACTGGAAAAACTCCGCGCGGAAACGAGCTCCATTTTCCACGCGTCTTTTCCCAGATAAACGGTTTTAGATGGAACAATTTATAGCTGTGTCTTTTACGGGGCGAACATTCTTAATTCTATGTACTGGAAATCTCTAATCTGAAAAAGTGTTAATAAATAATGAAATAAAACGTTTAAAAATATATCCTCGATTTATATCAATCATGTATCACGAAACACATATATAAGCAACAAGCAGTTGAGAGCTAAGAAACCTGTTCCTAAAGTTTTGCCCACCATTTACGAAACACCCTGTACATATTGTGTACACAGTGTGTGTTTAATTAAGATATTTTGCAAGTTAATTCTATGTTCGATAATTAGTGCGGGCCGCGTGTGAGGATGCTAGTAGTTCATATACTTTTAATTCTATACATGGCAAGCATTCTTTATATACACAACGTTTCATAAAATCCGCAGTGTACACATTATACAAGAACTGGTTTTCTTTTCCATTTTCATGTATATATATAGTTCACAATAATTAATAATTAAAATGTTTTGCAAACGAGAATCTGCACTGTAGTGTGAATGCTGCTTGAGCGTCGGCTCGACGTTTTTTAAACGTTACGTGATAAAAGGTAATAACGTTCGAGTTAATTTGCAACGCGTCGCACGCTAAAGCTAGATTGCCGGTAACTTACATACATTACGTCCATTGGCTGTTGCCCGACGTTTCGTGGGATTATAAACGATTACTTAATAACGATGAGGCAATCGATCCGCGGGAAACTTGTCCAACTGTTGTACGGAGGAGGCGCGAACAATAGTACGGATATAATAAATAGTTTCAAAGGTATTTTCTCTCAAAGCAACGGAACAAAGAAATCCTATCTGAATTCACAAATTGATTTTTCCCCGCGTATCCAAACAAAGAATTGCGATCGCTTATCTGACGTCGGGACAAAAAACATTTACAATTAAATCAAGTTTCGCTGTAGAAAATGAACGATGACTCGGCAGGTTCGCGACGCAACAGACTGGAATGCGTCAACGCGGTTTTTTAATCGAAGAAACATTTGAAATCCGTGACAGGCAGTGTACGATTCGCAAACAGAATCGGATTGCTGGATTCCTCGAAGCATTCCGAGGCTCGCAAACAATCGCTCGACACGCTTAATCGCTGTTAAACGTCGCTAATTTTTCCCTACCGGTTTTGGTCCGAGGAAGCGATGGCGACGAGGACGCGCCGCGTTCGCCCCGAAACGGCGTGTAGCGCCGTAGTACGCACTCAATGCGTGCTGTTTCCGGTTGATCGCGGATACGGCGTTCAATTGCTCTCTTTTAATTCTTACTCCCGACGAGATTAACCCTCGAGCGAAGTAGCCAGTAAAAAATCGTTATTTTCATCCCCGGTCTCGACGTACGACTACTCAAAACCATTCTCAATCCACACATTGGCACATGTGCAAAAATTAGATTATAACAGTGCCAACTTTATTCATTTATTAGTATTATTACTTTATTAATGAAGATAAACTCTTTGGAACAAAAAACAAAAAATTTCTAAAATTTTGTACACTATTTTATTAATATAATATCTGGTAACTGTTAAAATTTCAATGCTTTGTCACTGTTTTTAGAGTTTGTAAGAGTTCGTACAACATAAGATACTAATAGTAGATAATACAAATATAAACTTAAAAGTAAAACAAATTACTGCAACTCCCCAAAAAATAAATTGAAAAAGAAGACAAAGAAAGAGAGGAAACAAACAATACTCCATAAAGATAACAAAATTGACTGATACAACTAGACCTAAAAATAGTTTGAAAGTTTTTACGCATAAACAATGGGACGAAAAGGAGTGAATAAAAAAATTTTAATTGAAGAAAGGGATGACGAGAAGTAGATTTTTATAGTGACTAGAATTATTTTATATTTCTGAGATCTCTAACTTTAATTCGTGAGGTGTGAAAATCTGTACAGGGAATGTTCCTTTATGTCAGAACCGGTAAGTGACAGATTTCAGAAAAATATAAAGGCTGAGATAAATTGCAAGGTACCAAGCTTTAAGCTAGGATTTTAATTCGAATTTTAGTTAAAATTAATTTGCATTGCGATCGAGTTCAAATGTTGTTATACGTATTTTTCTGTATAGGTAAATGTCATCATTTCTATCATGTCCCAATTTCTACTTATTGGCTTAATTCCCTATACTTTTAAGATAACATGTAAAATAATAGAAAAATATGCTAGTGATGAGAAATTGGGACGTGAATATAAATTGAGATCTTATTCCATCTTATACCATTCTGTCACAGCGTTCGTCAGAATATGAAATTTGTAGGTCAGTTCAAAGTTCAAGATATTTAATTCAAAATCGAGGATTTCGAATAGGTGTTTGAATATTAAATAAATTAAATTAAATCCTGAAAGTTTAAAATGTTTACATCTGTCAGAGACTCGACGTCAAGCAGTAGAGAAATATTCAATTTCAATTCATTGAAAACAAATTTATTTTGTTGCACGTGAGCCGGGAATCGTTTTGACCAGCTGTACACGTTTTTAAAATATTCTTCTTCTACCTACTTTAATGATGAAAGGAATAACGAGAAAACGTAGTGAATTTGCAATTTCTTTGTCACACGGATTCATCCGTTGGAAGTAGGATGATGGCTGGTTTAAATAAAAGGTTCTTTTGATCAAAGGCGTCGCGCTTGACGCGTTCGTATCTCAACGACACTTTACTCTCCCGTGCGATTCTCGCGTATTTTTTATCCTTCGGTCGCCGCGCTTCTCGAAACCTACCCTACGTATATATGCGTGTCAAGTGTGCAAGCGTGCATATTATTAAACTCCGACTTTTCCCAACTGGAGAATTACTGGGATACCTAGTTTTCATGAAGAAGTTCCTCGACTTTGATGTCAGCGGCGGAATTAGCCGTAAGTAAAAAACCAAGTCTGGCAAAGATGCTACATCCGCCAGTAGTAAACATCTCGCTGAGAATTGACATCAGGAGCGGGGAAGACGCGTACGATTCGCGCAGATCCGAGACCAGACGAGGCAGACCCGAGGCGGACAGACAAAACAAAATTAAACGGATGTAATTCAAGGACTACTCCAGAGTGGAGGACCTTTCGCGTGACCACGAGACGTTGTTTCTTGCCGTCAATGGTAGTCTGGGTCAATGGTCGTAGTTTCCGAAGGTCGTGGACCAATTCCGAAACGCGATAAAACGAGCCTGTAACGGAGTCGGAACGGGCAAAGTTAAACCGGCTCGACTCTGTTACTATATGCATTTACTATGCACGACTCTCTCTACGATCAATGCATGAATGGAGGAGTACACGCAGGCAAAATAGCGGCACACGTACACAACGACACGAGCGGCGGCGGCGGCATTGTATTTAACAGCGTGTATCCGAAAAGATCTCGCGAGACGCTCGAATCGTTGACACCGGCACATCCGGTCGGGATCGCGTTCAGTGATGATCCTCAGTCGGGTTCGTGACAGTGGTATAAGTAGAGTCTTATTGTTAGACGAAGAGACGGGGAGAGACTAAAGAAGATGTTTGACAGATTCGCGGGGTCGATGTCGCGCGTTAAACGCGAGAAGACAAACGCGTATAAGTGCTACTCACCGACGCCGTATTTCGTCGTTTTCGTCGTCGTCCACATCTCGAGGGTCTTTAATTACCGGGCTACATGCCTTGTCGAACCGTCCACCGACCACTCGTAGTATCACGAAAAATTCGAAAACACAAACATTGGGTGTGTTTGCCGCACAAGTGCAAATGCCACCCTTGCAGCCGACGACGGGCCGTCTCTCTCTCCTGTGCCGAGCAACGTTGCCGACTGATCGACGATTCTCCCGGCAACGCCGCTACCGCCTGCGCCGATCACGTGCTCTATTCGTCGTTCAGGAACGTATTCATACACACACGATCCTCTCCCAGTTAATTTTTACATTTTCAAACGTATTTCCTTCCAAAAGCCACCTCTTTCACAAAATTTGGTGCACATATCTTCTGCTAGGAATTCAAATTAATATCCGTCGATGTAAAATAAAAAAAGAAACTGTAAGGAAAGGGATACTTAGGAAATCGTGAGTAGGAATTTTTACAGGGCAATAGTGTTGAAAATGGTCGCTGAGATGTTTCGTTAATCAGTAAATACGTTTGAATAGTGGATTATATAATTTATTTATAATAAATACAATAATCGAGAAACAAAGGTAAATCTACTATAAAAGGTACGGTACTTTCACAAATTCCTCCTTATTCTTTTATGTACAACTTTTTCCATATGCGATATTTAAGCGATGATGAGACCTACACGCTAAGCGTATAGCGTGACGCGAAATTGAACGTAGACTAGATCGAAGCTACGATGAGTCGAAATGTGCAAATCACGGATCGTTTTGTTTTAATCTTGTTTTAGAAGTTGATGGGCTTTCCGAAGTACGCGGCCAAGCATGCTTCCTTCCAAGCTTCCGCGCAGGTCTGAAACAGTAACACGTGATAAAAGTACCATTTTTCATTCGCTCAAGTACAAAATATACTCATTAGATTTCGAAATCACTTCATATGCACACACACATAGTGCATATGGGATTCCCTTCTCTTTCTATTTTTAATACTTTGCATGCGTCACCGCTACTTGGGTCTGAACATGCCATATTTTCTATATGTGCGAAGTGAGTCCAGAATCTAATTGATTACCAGTACAATTCGAATGCTTACCGGATGTGCGTGACACGTTCTCGCAACGTCTTCCGCACTTGCTCCATACTCCATCGCGAGCACCGCCTCGTTGATCAGTTCGCCGGCAACCGAACCGATCATGTGCACTCCCAATATTTTGTCGGTGTTTTTGTCCGCTAATACTTTAACGAACCCGTCCGTCTCCATGTTCGTTTTCGCTCTGGAATTTGCCAAGTGTGGAAACTTTCCGATTTTGTAATCGATGCCTTCCTTTTTTAAGTCCTCCTCTGTCTTGCCCACCCAACCGACTTCCGGATGCGTGTAGATTACGCTGGGTACGCAATTGTAGTCAATGTGAACGGCACCTGAGAAGCGAAATCAGTATAATTAGCAGTATATGATTCAGTTTTGTACAGAGTTCACGAGAATGGTAATAATTTCAATTACCTCCTGCGATACCTTCGACCGTAATGATACCTTCGTCCTCGGCCTTGTGAGCCAACATCGGCCCGTGGATGCAATCTCCAATAGCGAAAATTCTAAATGAAAATAATTTCGTTATCATTGTTCGGAGCAATTGGAATGATCGTAAAATAACGAACTCACGAGGGAATTACTGTTTGGAATCTGCTATTTACAGGGACCCTGCCCTTTTCGTCTCTCTCGATTCCCATGTCTTCTAACCCTAGGTTATGCGTATACGGTCTCCTACCTATGCTGACCAACAGTATATCGCATGTTAGATCCTCTCTCTTGCTAGGATCTCGTGCTTCTTCCACAGAAACGACGATCTCGTTCCCCACTTTTTTCGCACCAGTGACTTTAGTTCCCAAACTGAATTTCATCCCTTGCTTCCCTAATATCTTCTCTAACGTTTTGCTAACTTCGGCGTCGATATTTGCTCCGCCGATAGTCGTTAAAAATTCGATGGCTGTTACTTCAGCGCCCAGCCTAGAGCAAGGACAAGTTAAATCCCCGTGGAGTCACTTCGATAAAGAGAGTAATCACCTCTGCCAAACGGATCCTAATTCTAGTCCAATGACACCAGAACCAATCACAATTAATCTATTAGGTACTCGATTTAGTGACAAAGCCCCGGTAGACGAGACAATGGTTTGTTCATCGATCTCTATACCCGGAAATGGTGTGACTTCGCTGCCAGTTGCAATTATAATGTTTTTAGTGTTAATTGTGCTTACTACTGAACCGTCTGGACTAAGCGCGGTCACTTGGTTCGGACCAGTAATTTTCCCATGACCCTTGACCCATTCAATCTTATTCTTTTTATACAAACCAGCTATGCCACTGGTTAAAGCTTTAACCACATTGCGCTTTTGCTCCATCAACTTATCCAGATTGAGTTTAACATTTTCAACTGAAATAAACAAGGATATCAGAAATATTTAAAATTTCATTATCATGTTTCGATATAGAAAGGAATATCGCACCTATGATACCGCGATTATTTAAGTCTCCACTATGTGCCATATGATAATAATGCGAATTGTTCAGCAGTGATTTCGATGGAATGCATCCAACGTTTAGGCAAGTGCCCCCTAAGGTTTCTTCTTTTTCTACGCAAATAGTTTTCATCCCCAATTGCGCGGCTTTGATCGATGCTACATAGCCACCGGGGCCACCACCAATTACAACTAGATCTGCTTCCAAATTGCTGGCATATCTTCGTTGCTGGGTAGCTGTCAAGCCAGGTAGTACACGTTTCACGCATGATGGCTAAAAGAGAAATGTAGCGAGATAGCAAGATCGTTGACTAGGTAAGAATTATGAAGGTTCCACGCATTTTTCCTCGTACAATTTCTTCATTCAGAGGAACCGAATGCAGGTGACATAACCAATCATAAAAAGAGGATGTACTTTTCTACCGATTGATGAGTCTATGAAACCAGTTTCAACTCGCCGAACGATTCATCCACGGTTGCTCGGAATAGGGCATTAGTCGCAAATTCGACCGGATGAATAATTAAGTAGAAAATGTAAAATAATCATTTGTCCTTCACAATGTTACGAAATAGAATTCGGTGCGATATGGTGAAATCGCGAGATCACGAAGTCGTTCGTTAAATAGAACATTTCTCAAACAACTTACCCTCACAGAAGTGGTCACCAAACTCCAAAGGCTAGCCTGCATCATAATTTTTTAATAAAATTCACTGTCCAAATGTAAAGGGGGTCAAAAAGGAAACAGGTCCACGGCAGTGAATAAGCGAGCACTATCCCCGCACTACCGGTTACTTGGATGTCGACCGACTCGCCTGAGCTTTGATAATTCGATATATTGTCGCCTACACGCTTCCGAATCTCCACTGTCTGATGGCGCCATCACTTCGTTATGCAACGCGAAACAACGTTATCCTTTTCGTTCCCGTTCTCAGTCAGTCAGTCGACGGCGGACGGGCGCTACCGGCGCTACGTGCGGTTTTCAAAATTGATTTGCATATTTGTTGAATTTATGTACGCAGAATTGATGTGCACATATGTTAGTCGTTATAGATGGCGCTTAAAAAATTCATATTCCATCACGGAAGCTGTTAAACATGATTACAACGCATTTTCCAGCACTATCGCGATATGGACGTCTGTCTCGCAAATATGCAATATAAGAGCCATTATACGTTATTAACTACGTAAGAAAATAAATATTAGCAGTTTATTAAATCCTATACTTTATGACACAACATTTTCTCGGCGTATCTTGTTCGTAAGAATTTCAAGATTTATTTCATTTTATGGAAATGTCTTTTTACTTCTATCGAGTTAATTTGATGATCGTTCATTTTTATTCTCCGCTGAAAATAAGAGATGTTTCTACTACTATCGAGATATGGAAGTTCCTTTCGCAAATATCCAATATAAGTCAGTAATGAAAGAAATATTAGCAGTCTATTAAATCCTATCATTTACGAAACAAAATTTTCTGGTGTTAGTAGGAATTTTAACATTTATTTCAGTTTATGACAATGTTTTTTTTATTTCATTTAAATCGACCGGCGCATGAGCATTTTAACTGTAGTCGATAATCCATCGTAAATTTCTATCAAGCTTGCAATCATAAAAATCATACCCCGCCGAAAAGGGGCGGCGAAAAAAGGGGTAAGTGTAACGAACGACCATGGTCGGTGGCCTGTGGCGAGCGATAGGAGAAACAGAGACGGGGAATACGTTAGGGGTCGAGGAAAAAGGGCAACAGATGTCCTTCCGTATGACGCATGAGTCGTTTGGCCCTTGGCTAGATAGTACAGTGCCGTGTGCGTCTCTCTACCTTGCGGAAGTACATCGTGTGTTACGAAAAGCTAACCCCGTCGCCCGAGAAAACTAGAACCGGTTAGTATATTCTTCGCGTCGTTCGTTACGACGTTCCCGTGATTCATTGTAACGATCGTATCAACCGTTTTCATCGCCTCTTATGCCAGCACGTTTTGTTGCCTGAACGAACATAATCGCATTATTGGCACCGCGTTCGTGATTGGCTGAATTTAAATTGTTTAGCAGCTAGCCTAAGTGACGTCACTTTGGGAGTACAGCAATTTTCACGTGTATCATTCCCGTTGTAACGCGGCATTTGATTCATAATTACGATTTGAAGGTTATCAGCTCGAGGATGATCAGTCTTAATATTTGGAATAAAGTATAGAGTCACGATAAGTACGGGAATGTGCGAGATCGTAAAAGGGCAGCGTCGAACGTTTCGCGATCAGGATCCGCCGCGAATATGCGACAGCGGCGAGAAGAGTTTGAAAAGCGAACTGGAATTCTCGAGGTCGACGCCGAACTCGCCGATGGTTCCTCAGCGAGCGTCCGGGTTCGAGAAGTGCTCCAGCGAACCGGAATCTCTCGAGAAGGACCGACCGAATTGGAGAAAAGAGAGAGAAAAGTTGGTCGCCCAGGAAAGTGGCTCGTCCGATTCCGTTCGAGGCTCGGACGACGGACTCGAGGCGAACGAGGCGAACGAGCAGCCGAATTTGCCGAAAACAACCCCGGACAATTTCATCAAGGAGCTGTGTGCTAAAGTGCCTTCGTCGGGACGCCAAGAACGAGACGATGAGGTATGTTGGAATCATTTGCCATTGGTAGACTATGGATTTTTATGCATTTATAAAGATAAGAGTGAAAGTGCAAAAATTATAAATGCTGTGGAATTATAAATGTGCAATGTGTATAATACCATTTAGAATATTGAAAAGTGAATGCATATTTCAATATTTAAATGATAAATGAAAGGTTTGTATAAAACACATTTCTTAAACTGATACCATACATGTATAATTTTGTACAAAAATCCGCAGTGTAGTCATTAGAATAGCGAGCGATAATCCTGTAGGCGAGAAAATTTAACGTCTGAGCACTTCGTGGACCGATCGATCGCGAGAAACCAGGGTGGTAGGACTAGATAAATTATAAGAGAAGGAATGAGAATATCTATTGCATGCAAAACTCGTTCCTTCCGCTGTACTGCATGTTCTGGCTTGTTTTCAGTTCCTGCTTACAGGTATGAGCTTGTGTATTTTTAGTGCACAGTTGATAGAACTGTGAACGATATGATCGAGCTTATATACGAAATCATATTTTCTATTATGAGATTATATATAAATAAAGTTAATCGGAAATGAAACCATACAAAAAGCCGAAAGATCACGAAAATCATTTAATACTTTAGAAGCTCTCAATCTTGTACTGAAATTGTCTTAACGGTTGAAACGGCTAGAGTTGCACTTCAAAGAACTTGCATCTCTAAAGAGACTCGCAAAGCATAAGTAAGATTGCAAGTGATAACATTCGTTTCTAATTACGAAATATCTTCCGACGTGTATCATCAATCAGGAAAAGAGAGAGAGTTATATCCTGATAAGGTTTAAGCACAAGGATACATTGCCAATTGCATTAATGAACAAACCAACACAAACCGTTTCCAGCACCTAATGTTTGATATATTTCTTTATTATGCTATAAATGGTGAGAGGCAGTCTCGATGTTCGTTCGAAACTTGAATTGTGATCAGGGCGGATATGAGGAATTCCTCAAAGGGCCGGGATTTAGCGTGTAATCTGGCCACGATTGTGTGCCGACCACAGGGCCCTGAGATGAATTAGGTTCGGGCCTGGAAGATGCGGGTCCCGGGTCCGTTGCAGGTTCTTTTCCATCGAATGCCTTCTTCCTTTATGCGGAATTCGATTTAAGCTTCATGCACATCGCGCATTTACACCTTCAACGGTTTTGTTGAAAGGGCAAGGATCCCGGAGGGCATTGACCAGCTGATGTTAAAATATTTACGAGGATATTTCGGTTCTAGGCCGTGTAATTATGGTCGCTGGAACACGAGCCGCGAACGACGACTCGATAAATATTTAATCGTCTTTTGATGAGTTACTGCCAGACGCAAATTACACGTCTCGTTGTCCAAAAAATAAACTTCGAACCGGTAGCCCGTGTTATCAATTTCTTCATCGACTAACGATGTTACTAAAATCTATTTATCGTTTATTTTCTATGAAAAATGAAAAGAAGATGTGTTGAAAAATTTGGTTGAAAGTCTTTCAGTGTTCAACTGGATTTCATGATACTTCTACTTGTAAGAATTCGATAGAAGTTGATTGGAATCAGCAATGGTCGATAGAAGCGGTCAGTTCGGTGTGGAAGCTGCTTGTTAAGGCCCGACCTAGCGTGGCATTGCAGTGCAGCTTGCCTGGCAGCATCAGTTCGATGCTTGCGCTCGTGCTTTCAACATTTTTCTCTTCGGGTTCCGGGCCGCGTTAGTGATTTAGCCCCAGCGTTTTGTCTTCTTCTAATCAGGATCAGTCTGAGCCCATCCGACCAGCAGCTACCGCGAGTGAGTGATTTTATTTTCCTCTTCGTGAGTGAAATTCTATCCTCTCGACGTTGAACCCTTGCATAGGGGTAACAGCCTTTCCATACCGTGTCCAGTGTATTTCCAGTGAATTTCTGCGGAAGATACCATCGTCTAGTCTATTCTCGTGCCCTTTGTCTCTCCCTGGAACTTGGAAATCTATGGAGACCGTTCTCTATCAACCCCTGAATGATATATAGAGTCATTCAGTAAGAACAAATTATCCAGTAGTCATTGATCTTGTCCTAAAGGCAGAAACATATCTTCATTTCTCAGAAAACAACCATTCGATGGAGTCACATACGTTTTCACAAAATCATTAAAGAAATTGCACATGATATTCATGTTCTACTTTATTAGCTCATTCCATATGTATAGGCACATAAATAAAAGGATTATACGTGAAACATGAAACAAGGGTGTATTGGCTATTCAGTCAATCCCAAAAGTTTATGCACTTTAGAAACGCATTTTTTAAAAAGAAATCATACGTCGGAAGAACA